GGGCGCAGAGCCTGGGCGGGAGGCAGCGAGACACGCGTCCACCAGCTCGGGCCCAGGCCGATCCAGACCTCGGTGCACCACGTGGCCGCTCGCCCCGGCCGGGCGACGAGGCCCACCGGGGCCTGGACCACGACGAGGGCCCGAGCTGGCCTACACGCGGCGGTGCGCGTGTGCTTTTGCCTCCCGCGGGGAGCCGGAGGCGCGCGCTCCCGTGCCCGGCGCCCGCGTCGAGCACCCCGCACCAGCCGAAGTAGTCCCCCGCGTGCAGGGGGCCCGGGCCAGCGACCCGCGCAGCCCACTCCTCCTCGAGGAGGCGGAGCTCCTCCTCGGACACCGGGAGGCCGCGCGCGGGCGGCAGGGAGCCGGCGCCGGAGCGGAGGAAGCACCGGGCCCAGTGCTGCCCCCGCCGCAGCTCCTGCGCAGCCCCGCGTGGGCCAGCCTGGAGGGACGGAGACATGTAGCTGAGCTGGCCCAGCAGGAGCCCTCCGAAGTCCGCGCGGAGCTCGTGGGTCGGCACTGTCCCCCCCTCCACTAAAGGCCTCCTAGGATGAGGCTCGAGTAGGTGGTGTCGGAGGATCGCGGCGCATCGCCGATGCATCGCCGATGCATCGCCGATGCATCGGCGACGTCGGCGGTGCATCGGCGATCTCAACGCGGAGAAGATCGGGCTCCACATCGAGCCGCACTGGCGATACAGCGGCGATGCGGCGTAATCCTCGGACCCCATCTGCGCGGACCCCATCAACGGAGGCCCAGAGGCGCTGGCCCCCCCTCCCCACCTGGGATGCCTAGACACACCCCTTCCTCAGCGATCGGAGCGCGCCTGGGGGAGGAGGAGGAGGAGGAGGAGGAGGAGGAGGAGGAGGAGGAGGAGGAGGAGGAGGAGGAGGAGGCAGGAGGAGGAGGAGGAGGAGGAGGAACCTTCCTCAGCGCGCGGAGCGCGCCTTGGGCGGCGCCGCCAAGGGGGGCGGGGAGGGGGCCCCGTTGCCGACCCGAGCAGTGCGCGCGGAGCCCTCCGAGAGCTGCTGCCCGTGCTGCTCTTCGTCCCTCGGGCGGCCTCGGTCACCGTCCAGGAGAGCCCTCCACCTTTTAGAGGCCTCCAAGCTTGGGTCGGAGCAGATGGGGTCGGAGGATCGCGCCGCATCGCCGATACGTCGGCGATGCACCGGCGATGCGCCGGCGATGCGTCGTGGACCTGGGCGATGCTCCGGCGACGTCGACGTGACGCAAATCGGGCTCCACATCGAGCCGCATCGGCGATGCATCGGCGATGCGGCGCGATGCTCCGACCCCATGCACTCCGACCTCACCGGGGAGGCCCAGAACCTTCCCGAGCAGCGGGCCCGAGCAGTGCCGGGGGGGGATCCCCACTCTCGGAGGCGCCTCCCCGAGGAGGACGAAGGCGCCCCCAGACCCCGCAAGCGCCCTCAGAGCCTCCAGAACCACACAGCCACCGACCCTCCGACACCGAGCCTCGGACCTCGATCCTCAGGAGCTGGCGACCGCCTGGCGGTGGAACCCCCTTATGTAGAGGCCGCCCAACCTTGGGCCGGTGCAGATGGGGCCGAAGAATCGCGCCGCACCGCCCATGCACCGCCCTCGCCGGGATGGAGAGGATCGGGCTCTGGGTCGCGACCGCTCGCCGATGCATCATCGGCGGTGCGGCTCGGTCCTCCGACACCTGCTGCTCCGACCCTGAGACCCGGCGTCAGGGAAAAGCTGCAACGTCACTGACAAGTTCGACCAGAGCCCTGGACCCCATCGTCCTGCTGTACAGTCAACCAGTATAGTAAGGATGCGCGATAAGGATGCAAGGGCCTTGGACGCCCATTTCGAGGCTTTTCGAGGGGGGCGCGGCCAGTGAAAGCGGCGAAGGATGGACCGAGGAGGCGAGGATGCAAGGGTACCCTTGGGAAGGTTGCCCATCCTTACTATGCGGGTTGACTGTATTTGTTGTCCACCCGGGATCGGCCTGGTCCAAGTAGGGCCCCGATTGGTGTTCCCAAAGGTGACCCCGTAAAAGCCTGGAACCGCTTGATCCGGAACAACTTCTTTTTCATGAGGATTCTGGACCGTCCCTGCATGGGCCAGAGTTTGACCTGGGAGAACTCGAGTTGAGTGCAATCTGGGGCAACTCCAGCGCGAAAAAAAGAAGGCCCGAATCAAGAATTATCCCCGACACACTTCCTACCAAAATAACCTGGGTCTCCGCATCTTTCGAGCGCATCTATCCGTGAGGGCCCCAAGGCCCGAAACAAGGCAAAGTCGCCCGTTGTAAAAAATGCGACGCCAGGATCTCAGGGTACCCTATTCAAGCAGCCATGTGGGCGGCCTTAGAAGAACACCACAAATAGGTCAGAAATACACTATTTCGAAGGTCCGCGCTGAATTCTTGGATCGGCGCCGGAACCCCTTCCCCTGCGCGCGGAGCGTACCATGGGCGGCGCCGGAGGCGCCGCCAATGGGCTCTGGCGCAGGTCCAAGAAATCAGCGCGGACTTCCGACAGCTACAGTGGAGGCCAATCCACAAGAAACCGTCCACAAGAGACCCGACCCTGAGACCCCAGGACGTCCATGGATTCTTGCGTGGGAGCGTCGTGCCCTCCATCGCCAAACCATCAAAGCCTTAAGTCGGGCTTGTCCCCCTACAGGGGGATTTTCGACGAATAATAAAAATGCCCCCCAACAAATAAAAAAACATAATCCACAAATGATCCAGAGACTATTTTTTGAGTATTTGTTGACCCTTTTGGGGCATGTTTGGGGTATTTGTGATGTTTCGTCGAAAATCCCCTTGTCGGGGGACAGGCACGACATAATCGAAGCCCAGGAAACCCACGGCGCCCTGAAGGCAAGCAGGGTGCTTCTTGGCATGGGCCTCCACTGCTGGGGCCAGGTGGGGTCCACCTTCCACATCCAGATGCTGGGGAGCGGGGGAGGTGGGGTCTCCAGCCCCCTCCTGTGCGGCGGCCGCCTCATCATCCGCCACCAGCCCGCCGCTCCTTCCGCCTCTTCTCCACCACCGCCTGCCCCCCACTCCCTCCCTCCTCCGCCTCCGCCTATCCTCCTCCCCTCCTCCTCTGCCTCCTCCTCTCCTCCCCCTCCTCCTCCTCCTCCTCCTCCTCCGTCTCCTCCTCCTCCTCCTCCTCGTCCTCCTCCTCTTCGTCCTCCTCCTCCTCCAACCTCCACCTCCCTCCCCCCTCCAACTTATGGTGGTGGTGGTGGTGGTGGTGGTGGTGGACAACAGGCCCCTCATCCACTGCATGCTCATACGCCGCTTGCTGCTTCTCGGGGCCTGGGCATCGGCACTGCCTGACCTCGAGCAGGGGCCGGCCGCCCGGGCCCACGACGTGTCCTCGGAGCAGAGCAGCGCTCCAAGAGCAGAACCGCTGCCCTCAGAGGGTGCAGCGCATGCATCCAGGCAGGGCGGTCTCAGCCAGAAACGTTCTGACAGCACTTCGTGCACATCAAGAGAAGGTTATCAGAGCACTCTGCGGTGGGCCTGCAGCCGACCCGTGGATCAGACGGACGCACGACGAGGATGCAAGCGCCTTGGAGGGCCGTGCCGACACTCTGCGAGCGGGACGCGGTCAGCGTGAGCGCCCCCAAGCATGGGCCGAAGGGGAAGGATGCACGGGCAAACTGGGACACTTGCCCCCTCTTGCCGTGCGGGTAGAGTGCCTAGCCAGGCAAGCTAGGCCGCTGCGCCGCTGCTTGATGACCTCCACCTTCCGCCACCGCGCACGCCACCAGCAGGGCAATGGGACCCTCCGTGCCGCCGGCGAGCGCGTGCCGGCCGAGCTCGCGCACCACCGCCGGCGCCACCTGGCAGGCGGGCGGAAGAGCTGGAGGGAAGAGGAAAAGGAAGGAGCAAGAAGGCGAAGGGAAGATGAAGAGGAGGAGGAAGAGGAGGAGGAAAAGGAAGGAGGAGGAGGCGGAGGAACAGCAGGAGAAGGAGGCGGAGGAGGTGGAGGAGGCGGAGGAGGAGGGAGGAGGAGGAGGAGGAGAGGAGGAGGAGGAGGTGGAGGAGGTGGAGGAGTGGAGGAGGGAGGAGGTAGGAGAGGAGGTGAAGGTATGGGGGAGGGGGAGAGGGTGGATGAGGGATGGGGAAGGAGGTGGAGGACGAGGTGGTGGAGGAGGAGGAGGAGGAGGAGTAGCATGCAGGGAGGGAGGGGTGGGGAGGATGGAGGTGGAGGAGGAGGAGGGAGGTGGAGGAGGAGGAGGGGAAGAGGAGGCAGCCTGCCATTCTCATTCCCACGTCGTCCTTGCTATGGTCCACCCGCGCGGGGTCCGGCTCCGTCCGGATGGCCCACAACCTCGTTTTCCTGCTCCGCCGCCCCGCCTCGCCTCCTGCTTCACTGCCTCACTCCTCCTCCCCTCCCTCCTCCCCTTCCCCCGTCCCACCCGCCTCCTCCTCCTGCCGCCTCTCCTGGACGTCTCCCCCGCCCCACTCCCCCTCCCCCTCCCCCTCTCTACCTCCTGCCTCCTCCTCTCCTCCTCCTCCTTTTCCTCTCTCTCCTCCGACCTCCTCGTCCTCCTCGTCCTCCTCCCTCCTCCTCCTCTTCCTCCTCCTCCTCCTCCTCCTCCTCCTCGTCCTCCTCCTCCTCTATACTAGTGGGGAAACAACTTGCGAGAATCGGAGAAGAGGGGGGGGCGACGACAGCGTCGCAGAAGCACTCCGCACCAACGTCGCGACAGTGGAACACACTGCCACGCCGCACACCTGGACTGCAACTCGGCGCCCCCCGTAAGCTCCCAAAAAGCACAATGGTCAACCGAATGCATCACCTGATATTCTGCGTGCTCCGATCCTGGAGATGGCCGCTTCCTTCTCGCTTCCCCCCTCGCTCGACGCCACGATGGGGGAGGGCCACCCACGCCCCCTCGCTGCGTCAGCCGCTGCCGCTGGCAGCCTTGCACCGCGGCCCCGAAGGAGCCGAGCGGGGAGAACGGCAGGTCGCCGCTCCAGGCTTGCCCGGGAAGCCGAGAGACCGCTGGGGCCTCGGGCGGCGCTGCCGGGCCCCCCGAATCTTCCTCGCAGCCGGGCCACGGTCCCAAGCCAACGACTTTCACAGAGAGGAGCCCATCGGTATCCTGGGGGCCCTTCGCGAGGCCCGCCTCCATGCGGCCCGCGCAGGGGCAAGCGTGCCGCGCCATCTCGTAGCACGCCGTGGCCCAACAGGGTGTCCCTCTCCGTGGCCCTGCCCAGGCCCGCCCCCTGCTTGGCGCGCAACTCAGCCCTGGGGTTGCCGTAAAGGTCGGTCGCCGTGATCTTGCCGTCCCGGACCGCCTGCTCGCCCAGGTGCGACCCCACCTTGACCGTCTGCACCTCGTCGAGGCTGTCGTTGATGCCCAGCCACAGGTGCCCCTTGGCCGCCCTCGGCTTCGCCGCCCAGCGAGGCGCTCTGGCGCAGGCAACCGTGGCCTTGCAATCTATCACCAACACGCATGCCTCCAGGATACACCGCGCTGCCTGGGCCACCGCGAAACCCTCGCCATCGCGGGCCGATTGCGAAGGCGCCAAAGATGGCGGCACCCTGCCCCAAGCCTCCGCCACGATTGCCCCATGAGCGTCTGGCACAACCACTGACCAGCCCGCCGCGCGAAGCGCTGGCATGTCGGCGTGCAAGCAGCTATCATCCGTGAACACCCGCCACCCGGCATTAGCAGCCACTCCGTCTGGCGGCCAATTGCGGGCCTGCCGTGACCACTCAGGCTGCCAGGGCGGAAGGTGGAAGGCGTCCATGGGTTCGAGGAAGAGCCCTCGCGCCAGCCGCTCCGTCCAGGGCTCCCTCTGCCGCTCCGAGAAAGTAGCCGCGGCCAGCAGCTCGGGCGGCGCGCGCTGCCACCGGCTATGCAGGTGCTGCCACCGGCCAGGCCTGCGCCATCGTACACAATTCGCGGGGTCCGCTGCCTGCTCTGCTGCTGCTTCGCAGGCCACCAGATCCTCCATGGGGCGCCGTTTTCCCGGCCTCGGCGCCACGCGCGCGCGCGCGTCTCGGCCGCGGGTCGCGGTTGGCTTCGCGCGCCTTACCGCCCCTGGGGATCGCAACCGCTCGGCCGCCCATTCCCCGCGCATGCTTCGAGGTCGCGCGCGCGTGGTTTCGCAAGGTGAGGCGAGATGCCCCTCGATCGTCCTCGCCGCGCAAACAACGGCACACGTTCGAGCAACGCTGAAGGGGGGGAACGCTGGTTCGCAGGAGCCTGGCGGGTAGGCCCCGCGGTTTGCTTTACTGCCCCACATTCTGCCTCGCCAAACCGCCGTTTCGCGCGGACTAAGTATCGGCGGCGAGAGAGGGGGGAATGAGATGGAGAAGGCCTTCTCGGAAGGCGACGGGGCTTCTCAGAAGGCCTTTGGCCTTCTGAGAAGTGTTCTGCGTCTTCGAAAACGGCTTCGGAAACTGCTCATAAGGCAAGGGGGGAGGCTCGAACCTTGTGAGAAGGTCTTTTTTCTTGTCACCTCCCCCCCTCGCTCGCCGCCGAACATAATGTCAGCCCTGATGCCTAGACGGGCAAACGATAAACGGCGGCCAATTTCGGACACAATGCATCCTCAGAACACCTTTTTACCAGGCCCTTGGGCCGTCAAAAAGACTACTGTGGATGAGAGGTAGCTACACTTCCAGGCGATAAGGGAACAGTGCTTCGACGCGGGGATCTGGGGGTCCCTCTAAGTGCATCTCATCATCACACACTTCCCTCTGTGTCTGAACATGCGCGAACCTCCGCAAATCTGGCCGCCCACGGGACCGTGACATGAACCCCCTGGCGACTCCTCCAAGTGGGTGCTCAAGTGCCAGACCTGCCACGTCGCGATGATCATGGGGCTCTCAAAAGACACCCGCCCACTGTGCAAGCACAGGCGTTCCCGACATCCCCGCGGCCCCGGCGCGGCAAGGCCCGCCAGGTCACCCCTGGCGGCTCTCCTCAGGGCGCCCAGGTGCCGCGCCTGCTACGCCGCGATGGCCAACGGGCCCCCGAGAACACATCCGTGGATATTATGTTGTCAAGCCAGACGCTTCGCCTGAAACATCCCCCCAATCCGGGCGCGATCGGGCCCGTGATGCACCCTCTGGCGGCTCCAGCTCGGGCTGGCCCACATGCTCGGCGGGGTGCATCGAAGCGTCCATGAGGCCTTCTGCAGATGCTCGCCCACTGGCCCCAAGCAGGCGCGTCGCCTTAGAAATCCCCACGATCTGGGCGCGAGGGAGCCCGTCATGTTCCCTTTGGCGGCTCCCCCTTGGGGTGCCCAAGGGCTCTTCTGTCTCTGCTACAACGCAAGGGCCAATGAGGCTCCTGAAAGAGACCCGCCCACTGGGCCAACAAAAGCGTTTCGCGCAAGACGCTCCCATAATCTGAGCGCGAACGGGCCAGTGATGCACTTCCTGGCGGCTCCCCCTTGGACCGTCCTCCTGCCGCGCCTGCTCCAGAAAAACGCCCCCAAACGCGCCAAGAGGACCCGCACAGGACCCGGAAACGGTCCAAGAGGGCCCAGGGTCGCCCACACATTGTCCCCAGACGGCCAAAATGGCATCAGGACGGCACAAGAGGCCCCCAAGACGCCTGAAAGAATACTCCCACCAGGGCCCCGAGAGGATAAACTGAATCTCGTCGATAATGTGAATGGGTATATTGCGTTCGCGTGTTCGGGTTCCGGGCGCTTCAAGCGCGTCCAAAAAACTGGCAAACTCGCTTCCTGACGGCCCGCGATACTTCCAACGATGCCCGGAGATGACGCGAGAACGCCCCAAGACGGCCCAAGAGGCCCCCGAGACCGCCCAAGAGGGCCCGAAGAGGGGCCCAAGGGGGGAACAGGAAGTAACATCTCGAGCCGATGTCCCTCCAACTTGGCCCCAAGGACCCCCAAACGCATCCCAGGGAAACCCCGCACTTCGCTGCTCGATGCAACTCGTCTGGGCATCGCTCCTTGATGTGCGTGAGCGGGTGCCCAAAGCCAACAACCGCCCTTCGGTGCAAGGATGCTGGGGGAACTTGAACTTGGTTGTGCGTCCCGATATGTGCGTCGACCCACATATGTGGATGTACATGTCGACCCGCGCTCATAGTTATTTCGGATGTGTATGTCGATGCATGTTTTGAGTTGCGCGCCGATTGCATATGGTTGCGCATGTCGATATGCGTGCCGACGTGCAAGTCGATGCGGGATTGTATGCGCACCGCAGCTGTGTTCACGCACTCACTCACTCACTCACTCATTAAGGCCATATGCCGTCCGGCACGTGGGCGGGAAAACAAACCCAGCACAGCTTGAAGTGCAAGCAAGAAGAAAAATATGAGGAAACGGGACGAGGCGGGAGAAGACACAAATGACACCGAATTAATTAATTCGTGGGAGTACCTGCCAGGGCTGGCAAGCATCATAGATCGTTGATGTTGTTCTCGGCGAGCTCCCTCCCCCGACGCTCATCTTGCACGCAAGCAAACAACATCTCGTTGGACTTAGAAGCGCGGTGAACTTTCTGATCTTAACGCGTGGCCCAGTCGTTCCTCGGCCGGCCTCCCCCCTGTGGAGTTGCGCCGCAGCAAGCAACGTTGCCCCCAATTGCAAGGTCAACTCCCTCAGAATGTCGTGGTCGCCGGCCCTCCCCAACTTCCCGCGCCATGTAAGTCGGCGTCTTAACAACTGCGCGCTGTACGAGGCCTGACCGGCTGCCACGAGGATGCCCCCGTTCGAGACGCACGAAAAATATGCTGGGGCATTGCTCAGGATCCGTCTGAGGCATCTTGCCTGGAAGCCCTCCGAGCGCCGCCTCTCTGATTTATTCTGCCACGCATAACCCAAATAATAGAACTTCTTGCTCGTT